CTACTCAATCAAAAACCCATATGGGTGGATCATGAGATAACTCCTTTAACATAACACTCAAAATGACCTAATCAAAAAATATGATATTTGAAATGACCTAATTCAGCCTGTTTGTCAGGTCTAGTCTAAAGTTAGTTTTCTCTACAATTCAAACCGCAGTTACTGGAACTCCACCAAGCGGCCTAATGATCACGCGCCTTATTGAGGTTTTACCAGATTTACAGATCGAATCCTCAGTTGCTAACATCTGACAATACTAACCTACTAACTATTGCCCTTATAAAAAAAAAAAAAAAAACCGTAGTTATTGTGGTAGGCCAGCGCCTAATGTCCAATTGGGACTCTGATTGGTTTGAGATGTGCCACGCCACCAATTTATGGCTGATCTAGAACCTGATTTGGTGCAGTTCATAGCCCAGACTGAAGGTGGCATGGGGGTGGGATCCCATGTGGCAAGATAAGATGCATATCTCTTCCATTAATTAAATTTTATTTGAATTAGGGACTAAAAGAGATTTCAGGAAGAGAGATCATGGCAAGGTTAATTAGAGTTATTGAAAAGGTCAAATACAGGTAGTAGACTTAGTTAAAGTAGGAAACTTTTGTTGCAATCACCATTTAGTCTGGTGGTGGTCATACTATTAATTGGACAGCAGGTGAAATGTACGTTGATCATGAGTTCAATTCTCTCAAAAAACAGATACTAACCTAACTTAAAATTTTTCATTAAAAAAAAAAAAAAAGGTAGGAAACTATTGTTGTCAAAATAGAGAAGAAGCCAAACATGCATAGAAAGTAGTGAGAAGTGGACCGAAAAACATGGGTAAAACCTCCAGCAACAAGTTTAAAGCACTTTTTAGACAAAACTTAGTTTTTCAGGCCTGCCCCTCTCGAAAATCAACCAACACGCACCAATTTCAATTCTAAATCAATTTTGGTTCTAGATTAGTTTAGCCAGCCTTTAGCATAATTTCTAGATTGCGATTCAAAATCCTATTTTTATTCATAACTTTACTTTGAATCTTCTATTTTGTTGAAAGGTTGCCCAACATAAGAATTTCTAGAATCAAATAAAATCTACAGCATGTTTTTCCAAAAGGAAGTCTTGAGACCATTTCTTACTTCGTCTTTTAGGTTTGCTTTCATCATTTTACTCTAGTTTGCTAGGTTTTCATGATTTGAGACTAGGTCTCATGTTTTTATTGTAATAGTTGTATGTTTTTAGTCTTTGGTCAATCGTGACATCAATTTGAGTATTCGACCATATTTTTTTTCTGGTCAATCATATTGCGTGAGCAAAATTATTTCCAAAAATGGTTTTGAGGAGGTGTTTGGTTGGGAAACTATTCTCCCTAAATTTTTCTTAACTTTCTATCTTATAAGGTTATTTACATATTTTCAGAAATTAATATTATATTAAAATAATGGTAAAAGTGATATTTTGAATATTTATTTTCTCTAACATAATTCTCAACCTGTAAAGTTTTTTTTTCACTTATTTTGAAAGAAAAAAATGGTTTTTTTTTTTAAAATATAATTTTCCATATATTGAGGCACTTAACAACCTTTCCTATATCAAATTTTCACTACATACAACAAAATTAATAACCTAGCAAAATTCTAACAAAATTTCATTACAAAATTTATCAATTTTCTATATGTTTTTTTCTAACTACTTACTCAGTAAAAACTTTT